CTTTTAACATCCCTGATTACTTAGAAAGAAAATTCCTCACGGACAACCTTACAGTTAGGCTTTCATAGGGTGTTCACAGGCACATCCAGGTTTGCGTAGATTCTATAAGGCTAATCACAGTGCAGCCAATGTTGGAATTTTGACTTCCATGGCACTTCCGGGGGAGTAATGGAGGATTGAGGAAGGCTCCGTTTTTGCAGAGCCAATGACTGTGGTGGCTTAGAGGAGCTGGCGAAAGGTCTGGCCCTTTGGAACCGTCTCCGGAGAAAGGAGATGTCTGGATCACCCACGAGTACTCCTTTACAGAGGCTCCCTGTGAAGAGATCACATTTTAGTGATCTCCAGCGGGTTGAGGACTCTGGGAGTCATGGGAGACATCAAGGCCAAGCTGTGGCTTGGAGCCTTCAAAAGGACACCAGATTTGCTTTTGCTTCCTCTTTTAATTACCATCTGAAATGACTTATTACCGATTTACTTGGACATTAAAAACCTTCTGAAAGGCAAGTGGCTGTACACCAGGAGAATTTCCTTCTATCCTGGAAGAAAGAAGATTTAAGTAAGTTTAAAGATTAAAAAGAAAAACCTTAACTTTTGGAAACAGCAAAAGGGAGTCAAGAATGCTACCTTGTTCCTTCTCCGAGCCCCAATTAAATAATTCGCTAGCCATCGCGCCCATGCAGTGCAAATCATTCTTCAAGAATAACAGCTTGCACCCGCCTGTGGTACAGGTAAACAGGATGCAAATTTCTGTCTCCACTGGATTTGCGGCCTTCATTCCAGATCCAGTAAATGATAGAAGAATAGAAAATGGAGCCTGTATCTCTTATTTCTAACCTTTTGCTGATTAGGAAACTAATAACAATGAAACCAGGATCTCATCCTGCTTTAGCTACTCTCTCGGACATGTGTAGTTTGTTGACTTGCTGCACTTGCTTTTCCTTTCTGTATCTGTGCCTTTCTTCACAGTAACCCTTGGCTGTGCACGGAGTAATGTCTCTCCTCACCACTTTTTGGATGTGCTTTCTGCATGTAAGTACAGCTTGAGAAGAAAAGTTTGTCCGCCTTTGGAGGGAGCTAAGAAGCATATCTGTCATGAGTAGGGTTGGAAAGAAGTCTTCTGCTTCTTTTGGCCAGGATGAACAATGAGCATTTGTAACCGGAACATAAACGCCCTGACTCCCCTCCAATAGTTCATCAGACTTAAGTTCCTTTGAGGTCAGTGGCATAGCCGAATCACAGAAAAGTCCCACCATTTTCAGTGGGAACAGAACAACTAACCAGACTCATTCAGTACCAAATAGGTCTTGTCTACTTCATTTTCCATTACATGTGTTTACACTGGTAGGTTCGCCCTCATCATAAACATTCTAAGTTCGAAATAAATCCACTTGATTTCAGTTTTTGCCTGAACTTAAACTGGTTCAGAGAGAAATTCCATCTAGAGCCATTGCAACTTCATTCTTTTGTAGTTTAACCTGTGCTCTTTTATATATATGTGGGAATCCCACTAAAGGACAGGTGTTTAGGGTTGGCCTGTTAATCCAGTTTCCAAATAGGTTTCATTAAACCACCCTTGGAACACAGTGCTACATGTTTTAATATTAGGCTATTGGATACTGACTGCACTTTGCCGGTTCTCATTATCAACAAGTGGGCTATTCTTCCTGCTTGTTTTAGAGGCACAGCTATGCAAATTATTTTGTGCTGGTTTTCAGTAGAAGCAGTCTTTCCTGATGTAATTCTTCCTGCTTCAAGGCAAAAGAGCCTCTTTCTGCTCCATCACTGAATCCATTTAACCCCCAGGTCCTCTGCTGCTAAGCAATCAGATTTCATTCCAAGATGTTTAACTCCTGGTATTAGAAATAACCATAACACCACACATACACTGCCTGAAAGCAGAAACATTAATACACAAGTTTATATCTTTATCTTCTACAGTATTTTACATATTCTCTAAAGTGTTATATGCCTTGGCACATACTGAGATTAAAAAAAAATCTGAATTAGGCCAACAGTCAGTCTAATCGAGGACCTTTAATTGAAATTATGAAAAGCAACATTATGACTTACCATTATGTGTATAATAACTTGGATCAGTCTAACTGATTTAGAGAAAAAAATTACATCCATTTTGAGAAAATGGCCATTCAGTTACTTTGACAGACAGAATATATACATACATAGAACAAGATTCAAACATTCACCCAAATATTTAGGGGGTTAATCTCATACAAGTAGCATGTCAAGTGCCAGAATACAGAAATCAGTTTTCAGATATTTTGTACTTGTTCTGTATTGAAACTGATCTTTAAAAAATGATATAGACCGGTTTCATTCATGCATAGCTGTAGGAGATATTTCCTTGAATGAATAAACAAATTGATGATTTATTGAATAAATTACAGTTGTATTTGCGCAACACACTAAATCCAAATCAAGCAAACTAGATCATGGCTTCCTGTGCTGTGTTCTCTAAAGAATTTCCAGCCAAATGCTAAGAAAAAGCTTGATGAAAAGACAGTGGTACCTAGCCTCTAGTGAAGTGAGTACTTCAGAGTAAGACCAACTTTGATTTGCAACCCTGAGAGGCACGATTGATAATTCATGGTATTGAAAAAGTTTCAGCACTAGAATCTCTTCTTTTATTGGCGTTAGTGGAGTCTCAGTTGCTTCTTTGTCATGGGTGTCTTTAGATCACCAGCACCATACAATGACTCCACCAGCGAGAGAGTTGGTTGTCTGTTGTATGTGACCTTGCTGTGGGATTGACTGTGCATCAGAAATGCAGGATAATGAAGATGGAACACAGTCATGGCATGTGAAATGCATGGTTTGGTAGTGAGATTGTGTATGCTCACTGCACAGCTGGATCATATCAAGGTACCTTGATGTTTCCCTGCTCAGAGATTTCCATATAGAGCATTGCTTTGCTGACTTAATCCTCTGTCAAATTTCCCTTGTCCTCCTAATAGCCTCTGAAATGGTATTTACATTTCAATCCCATGGATTCTAACATATGGAACAGTGATCTCCAGATATGGGTGTCCCCAAAAAGGGCAATTCGCCAAGGAAAAAAAACAGAGCCAGGAGTAATTGGATAGGTGGGGAATAAAAGTGTCTTCAAAATATTGAAGTTGGAATTGTACAAAGCTGGACGTACCTGGGACATGATCTTTGCAGTGACAGCTGAACAAGAAATACTAATTGTGGGCTACTAGACATTGCCATGTTAATGGGATCCTGTCAGATGGCATCCAAATCTGTTTTGATTTTATCATGAATGAATTCATAAGGAAATAAATAAGGAAATAAAGGTCCACCTACCTGGAATTCCTCAGCCTCGTGGGCTAATCATTTTAATGAAATGGGTACATCACATTCAAAAATAGGACTCCTCAACCTAGGCACCTTCCAGATCCATGTGCTTCAAATTACCAGAATTCTCTCTAGTAGACCTGTACAGACGGGGAATTCTAGGAACTGAAATATTTTCAACTTGGACCACATGGCTTCAGTGGGGCTGAAAATCTTAGATCCAAGACCTTTCTCTTAATTGGTTATAGATCTGCTAGTAAATCCTTTGTTTTGCAAACATTGATGTATCTGTGAACTTTTGTTATTCCTGGCCATGTAAGTTGTATGTGTGACTTACCATTCTTTGGAGTCAAATTGTTTTCGCTAGAACTTTGCCTCAGAAATGGAATAAAAAACACAGCTACATTTACAGTATATCTACAACTGTCTAGCTGGAGCCTGGCAGTGTAATTTTGAAACATATATGAAGGTTTATGTTTTACCCCTCCCTCTCAGCTTATTGAAAATAAAACTGTGAACAGCAGTAGGAATATATTTGTATACTTCTATTTTGTGGGGTGTGTGTTTTTTTAAGTTTACTTAACAGCCTTAAAACTTTTTAGGTCTAGCTTGTTTATTAACTTCCTATTTGAAAAATATCCTATGTTTTTACCAGAATGAATTTGTAACCAATTTACCGTGACTATAGCACTATATATGTTATGTATCTGTCTGTTAGACTTTTGTTAACAATGTCAAAAAATGTCTTCATTTTTCAAAGTACACTAATGCTGGGAATCTTCTGCATTTGAAGGACGTGGGGCTTTTTGTATATGTTCTTGAATGTTCACTTCCCAAGAGCCTGAATACCCAAAGTGGGAAGGAGAAAATACATTTAAAGAAAAAAAACAACCAAGTAATTAGCATCGTTTTGTGTGTATCTGGCTTTCTTTTTTAAACAGAGTTTTGATTTTGATTTATTATTTCATATTTGTATGGGTTGGGAGTGGGGTTGGACCTGAAAACAAAATAATTTGAACCTGATTAATTTTACATTTAGTTTTTCCATATTTCTTTGAAAATACACACCCATTTTTATTTCACTCTGTATTTTTCCAACGGTCCACAGATTTCTGGCGTATCATCTTGTTCAGTTAAGAGCATTTTGGCAAGGTTCAAACATTCTGCTTCATGTTTGCATGTTTTGGACTTGTATACTCAGGGCAGAATTTGGCATTTCTGAATCCGGTGCAAAAGTGAGAACAAGTATCGGGCACAGTGGACATTTCTACCCAGAGAAGCCCATGCTTCAGTTTGGAGCCTATGAAATTCCTGTCCTCAAGAGCCAAAACATTTTTGACAGCACGAAATGGCTGTTGAAATACTGGCGGCCCAGTTTACCACCTGACTGTGGGAATAACCATTTATTTCTCCTCTCCCACACTGGAAACCACATCAAATATTGAACAGACATAAAATATCCTGCAGGAAAATACCAGTTTGCTGGCTTTAGTTCCTTTAGGGAACAAAGTTTCAGTAGTATAGAGTATGCAGATCCAAGGAGCCCTGACTATATTCATCCCACTTTTGTTTCCACTTTCACGCTCTGCTTTGGAAAACAAACAGTACTTTGGTTATTTTTCTGTTGTGTTGCTTTCCCTCTCTCTGGATTCTGAATCTTTTTCCTTTTCTTCTCTTTTCTGTAGCTTCTTCTTTATGTAGCTGTCAGTCACCTTGCCAAGTTCCACTTTCCTCTCTCCTAATGGACTATAGCGCCTTAGAAGAACCAGCAGGGTCACACACACACCCAATTGGGAGACAAGTTACCTCATTCTTCCACCACCTCCGCCTTTCTGTCTTTGAAAATTGACTTGTTGGACTCTGTGCGTACACGTGCACGTCTTTGACAAGTCTCAGTCCCCTCATCACTGTTGACTTTTCACACTGCCCAGATTAATAGGCGTAAAGGGGGCAGAGAGAACGTGGGTGCCATAATTGTTGCACTGAGGAACTTTCTCTTTTCCTTTGGGGCGATGCAAGGAGAAAGGACTCCTGAAGTGGACTGCAGATATGTGCGTGTTTATGCATGTCAGAGGGTTGGGTGTGCTTATATGCAAACTCCAGATACATTGCTCAAGTGTTAGACCAAATCTAGCACCGAATCTAATTCTTTCCAGGAGGTACTGTATTCTAGTCACCCTGAAAGCCATATGAATTCACAAGGGTTCCCAAAGTTTGTCTTCATAACACTCCTTAAACCGAGCATATGGGAACACAGACATCAAATTTAAGGACGGAGCCACCCATTTCGGATTATAGCCTTTTTAAAATCCAGTTCAATTAGTTTGACTTCTTTTACCTTCAACTCTTGTCCACTGTAGCTTTTATAAGATACTATGAACCTTGCTAGTTTCTTTGCTCTTTCATGGACACTTCATGTATTGCACATCAGAAAATCCACCACTGGTTATGATGCTTGAGGAGAGGCTGTAGATGATTCTGACTTTTGCATCACACGGGGATTTGTTCTGTTATGCTTTAAAAACTTTTCCCTGTAAACATGTCCTGAGAAACAAGTTCAGAACTATGGAACAGAAAATTTTGGTTAGTGAATTCAATCTGATTAATAGTTAATGTTTTCCCCGAGTTGCTCACATTTAATGTATAAAAGAGGCACAGCCACTCACCTTACTTCTGTTTTCTGGATCAACAACCAAGGAATTTGAGTGTCGCTGAAACACCCATAACTTTAGTTCCCAAGCGTAAAGTGCACTAGAAGTCTACAGTCTACTCTTCTCATTCTGTTATTTATATTTTTTTAGGACAAACTCCTACCAAGCAGTTTCTATTAAAACAAAGATTAAAATATATTTCCAATAAAATGTAGTGAAAAATCAAAGCAATGAAATAGAACCCAAGCATGCCGTGCTAAAGTCAAACACACCTGTCCAAGGTTGGGTGTGTGCCCCCAGTTCTGTGTTGGACTGCACAAATCTTTTGGGTCAAAAGCAGCAAATGGGTTGTGGAGTGTTGTGTCAGACAACAGAGTGGCCTACTGTGAGACTATTCAAACCTGAAAATAGATGTGACTCTGGGGGTAGGAATTCTTGATCAGTGCCATAATTATCTCCCACTTTATTTTTTATTAAATTTATATGTCACCCATCTCGCTCAGAGGGTGACCCTGGGCGGCATACATTTAAAAGCCAAGACAATAAAAGCAATAAAAATATAAATACCCCCCAATTAAAATCACAAGTAGCAAATCTATAAAAGCCACTATACAATTCAAGAAGATGGAGGGAGCAGTATCGATCATCCCACCAGCCAGTTCCAGTAATGCGAGCTCCCATCAGGCCCCCAGGACATCTGGTGTAGCCATGCTTTTACACTTTTTCGGAAGGCCAGGAGAGTGGGGGCAGCCCACATTTGAGGTGACAAGCTGTTCACAGGGAGAGGGCCTTGGCAGAAAAGGCCCTCTTCCTAGACCCCACCAGCCGAAATTCCTTGACTGGTATGGTCTGCAACATGTCCCTTCTGCCAGACCGACTGGTTTATCCAGTCTTGGAACCATTGTAAGCCTGTTCACCTTATAACTTGGTATGTAAATCACATTGCTGGCATGAGCTACCCTTTCCCTGGCTCCGCTGTACTAATGGGGTCCCTGAAGAGCCAACCTCTGTGGGCACAGTAGGATTCATTTCCAGGACTCTGTTAGGGCACTCTTCCATTCATTTATTTGGCAGGGTATATAGAATCCTGCACACACCAGGGCTGACTCTGAGCAGCATACAGGTTTAATCATGCAAATCAGGATAAAAACCAAAACAAAATACAAACCATGGAAAATATTAAGTCCAATAAATAAAACCACAGATCTAAGATACACTCTGGGAATGAACCACACGTGCCCAAAGGCACTCTGCTGCAGATAATCTCTCAGTTCCTGTAGATGACTCACTGTTCACTGATGTCTCAGACTTCACTGGGGAGAGCTGCTCAGCGTTCCTTGTGTATCAAGATCTACAGATGAAAATAATGCCTGAACAGGGTGTAAAACTGAGTGGAAGCTAAAGAGGGTCCTGGAGAATGCAGAAAAAGCGGGGGGGGGGGGAGTTTTCACCCCTGTTCTATGCCAAGCTTGTGGGGGCAGGGGGAGGCCTTAATTATTGGGTGTAGAATTCAGCTTTATGCTTTGCCTGCTGATTCCACAATTATGGCTCCAACAGTCTTGAAAGGGAAGGTGCAATTCCTACTGGAATCTGGAAAGGAAGAAGGGTGATGCAACAGGATTTCCACTGCCTTGGAGTGACTATAGGAGTGCAGTTAGAGAAGGCAGTGGGCACGCCGTGAATTGTGAAATGTCTCTGTGTTATGATGCTTTGAAGCTGAAAGCTCCGTGGCTTTTGGTTTCTTCATTCAATTGATTAAACAGGCCCAATTCTTTACAAGTAGGGACAAATAGTAAAAATGCTTTACTGTTTGCCCCTACTTATCTGGAAAGTAGTAGATAAAATAATTTTATTTTTAGTATAAATGCTTACCATTGCAGGGAGTAAGAAGTATCAACTTCGCAATTATTTCCAGTTCTTATATATAGGAGGGTATTCTGAGATGCCAGAATTATATAAAGCTGGAAATCCTTCCTTCCTTCCTTCCTTCCTTCCTTCCTTCCCTCCCTCCCTCCCTCTGCAATGTTTTGCTCATATACAAGTGGTCAATCCGCTTTTTTAAAAGTAGGTATCTCAATTGTCAAGGTCCCACCATTTTTTATAGGAGTTGAGCACTGAAATTGGGATATTTGAATTATATCCCCTAGGCTGTCCTCAACATCTTCAGCAATTTGGGCAGGGAAAATAAGAAATAGCCAAGATCTCCTTTGCCAACAGGTTCATCTTTAGCTAAAAGAATCTGGGAGCAGGTGACAGGAAAGATTTCTGTCTACCTGAGACTCTGCAGACCTAGGACCAGCCTAAGTGAAGAACACGAAGCTTGTCCAGAGAAGGGCAGTGAATGGCCTTCCTTATGTTCTTGAATTCCAGTTTCCATCAACTCTAGCCAACATCTGAGAAGTCACAGATTGCTCATACCTAGTCTAGATGTCTGCTCTGGTGTAATGCAACTGCTGATGTATCAGTCTCGGGACATCCTATGTATGGGAACCCATGACATACCCAACTTTTCATGCAAATTGTAATTTTCCTTTTGTTGCTTCCTCCTACCCCCCCCCAAATTGCCTCTCACTCTGAGGTGTTTCACTGCAGGGAAGGTAAGGAAGACCCCCACACATACCTTCCACAATCGGTTGCCCAAAGAGAGGCTTTCTGAATCGTAGCTTTAACTACAGTTGGTCAATTTGAATGAAAAATGTACCATGTTGCATGAACTTTGGTGGGTACTATTTCATGGTGTCTTAAAAAATATCACACTTAAGTGATCTACTCAAGGAGGCTAGAAACTTTAGTCAATCCTGATGTCTTAACCAGTGTGGGATATGTGCTGCTTATATTTGTAGACAAGTTTGTCTCCATTTTGTGTTCACACTTTTATTTTCAAGTGTCAATTTAAAATACTATAGCATTGATACCTCTGAAACACAATGTGTGTCTTGGGTTAGGCCTCCTTCCACCATCTCTTTTTAAGTTGCATGGAACCTTTTATTTTTGCTTCATGGCTTCTCTCTTACACCACTTATCTTAAGTGCATGGAGTAAAGTCTGGAATGAGCTCAATCTTGTTAACAAGATAAACATGGAGCAGTGATGTATTAATGTTGTTTTGTGGCTCTGTTTACTGTGATCACTTCTAAATTCTTTAGATTTGTGTCTGAAAAGATGTACATTTTTGCCATATGGTGATGTTCACCTAATGTCTTATTGCCTTGATATAAAATACACTGCCATGTTTCTGCAACAGTGAAACTCAAGAGCCTATTCATACACTACGTTTTTGAGTACATGTGCATTTTACATGCAACTATGGTTACTGTCAACTTGACAAGCCCAGATTTGTGTCTGCATAATGGTGTAGTGGTTAAAGGTACTAGGGCTAGAAACCAGGAAACCAAGTTCTAGTTGGGCCTTAGGCATGGAAGCAACTGGGTAACCATGGACCAGTCCTCTCTCAGCCCTAGGAAGAAAGCAAAAGCAAACCACTTCTAAAAATGTTGCCATGATAACTGCAAGGACTTGTCCAGGCAGCCACTGGGAATCAAGACTGACTTGAAGGTAAACACATTTGTGAAATGCTCCTAACTTCTCCCTTTTGGAGTTCTTGGTGCTCTCTGAGCTTGGTTGTTTGCTTGCAGATGCTTCATTACCCAACTAGTAACGTGTTGAACTCCACAACTCTGAGCTACATATATTCTCTTCTATTGGAACTTCTCCCGTTTTTGGAGCACAAGTCAATGCGGCTACCTTAATAGAACTCTGCACTAAGTGGAGAAGGGTACTTTAATACAATAACAAGAAAAAGGTAGCTAATTCTGAAGTGCCCACATCATCTTTTGGAGATTCCTAGTTGAACTATGAAGTCTATGCAAGTTGTGTGCAAACAACACACAAACTGGCCTTCCAAATGTGGTGATAGGACCACATGAATTGTGCGTTCTTTTTTCCTCTACTGTTCAATTGCTGCTATACAAACCTCTACAGAAGTACTGAGAAAATCCAAACAATATAAAAAGTCCTTGCCAAGGTCAGATGGAGACACTTTTCGTGTGTGCCTTGATAAAAATCTCGTTTAGCATATGGTTGAGTTGTGAACAGTTCTTCATTCTGGGTCAAAAAACCATAGCGGTCAAAAGTATAAGTTAGCTCAGCAGGGGGTGGGGGGTAGTTTGGTTCTCCTCCCAGTTCTGTTCTAGAATCACTGACTGAGCAACCGTCCCTGAGTTTATTGACTGTCCCACTAAGCGATGACTGGCATGTGAGAAGCTATTGACAAAGAGTGCCCAGAAGGCAAGAGAAATTACATTGCTCAGGGACATGTCATGTGGACATCTCAGACAAGCCACATGAAGAAGCAGGCACACAATTGGAGGTACAGCTCTCTCCACCCCTCAAACACTCTTCTCCCAACACCATGAAATGCCTTCAATTCAAATGTATTGACATCAACATTAGTTAATGCTACTGAATTATCAAAGAAGAAACATGGGCATAGGCCAAATTTCAGCTGGAGCATTGAGTGGGTGGATCAAGGTCATAATATTTTATAATGTTGTAAAGCAACTAGTGCAGGGCTGACTTCAAGTGTAGAAGTTTCTAAGTGAAGACAACTGTCATTGTTGCTCCATGCAGCTGCCTGCATGATCCTTTATGTGCAGTTTCCTTTGGGTCTCTCTCCGCTATAGGTAGAATGGACCTCTGCTGGTTCTCAAGATCCTGCCACCTGCTGGCTTCCAAGAGAATGGTCCATGTTCACAGATTGATACATGCACTGACTGCCATCAGTAACAAGCAGGAATGTATTTTATGTCTTGCCAACAGTATGCCTTCCCACACACATAAGACCATCTCCTCACTCCAAATATCTCCCTTTATACATGTGGACATATCCATCTTGATTCCCAGTGATGAAAAGTAGGGGTACTCTCCAACTCTCTTTTAGATACTAAATCCATTTAGCTAGCCTAATGTTGGGAATCATGGTGCAAAATCATATGAAGCTATGGTGGGTGGTTTTTCTGCTCATATTTGCTACACTAGTTATGACTTGGCCTGCATCATTTCATCTTCAGTAGTCCTCAAGCTGGGCAGCAGACACAGGAAAACTTTGCTTTCACACAAGAGGTGTTCAAATTGCTGGCACACCCCGTGTCTTAAGATGTATGCATCCTGGATGCCTTTTCATACATTATATGCAAACACCTGTATTTCACACCATCACCAAATGCACCAGAGAGGAGTAAAACCAGTCAACCTTGCTGGTGGGGGCATCTTTAAACCCTTTCATGGATCTTTATTTTAATAAGGCAATTGATGTGCCTCCTCTCTCAAAAGCAACTTTTAGAAAGTTGGCTGGACTGGGCAAAACCATTATACTGTGTTGTTTGCTAGCTCCCAGGTTAAAAGGCCCTATTGTGGGAAAAAACTTAATGGGCATGTTGAGGGAAGAAGAAAGAGGACATTTTTATGCACGTGCAGACTGCACCTGGACCTTAGATTTGTAGCCTTCACAAGCCAGTGGCCTTAATACACAATGGGACTTCAGTTCCCATCATCTCCAGCCTTATGGTCATGCTTGTAGGAATTGGAAAAGTTGAAAACCAACATATTTAGAGGCACTAGGTCTGGGGAATACCGACATTGTGTAACAGTTTGCTGAAGGACTGCATGCCTGCACGCACACCCAGACACAATGCCTTCTTCATTATTACAAGTTGCCAGAGAGTTTCTCAAATCCCCCAAACCTGGCTTCGTGCTAGATTTTTAATGACAGGCTTGGATTTCTTAACACCTGCTAGCTGTATTGAAACAACTCTGGATTCACATTTGGTAGAACAGGCTAAGCAGAACTTAACTTGCGGTTCAGTGTCTTGTGGGAACCTGGCTGTTGTCGGAACAGTAGCCATCACATTAAGTCACGGTATGGCTGGCGTAGGGTGTCAGCCGAAAACAGTAATTAAATTTTGCTACTCAGGCAGAACAGAGCTGTTGTAAATTCTTGCTGTAAAAGCCTTTTTTTTTTTTTTGGCAAGTAAAGCCATTTCTAGTAGCCATCATGATTTCTACTTGGAAGATGAGTTTTAAATTCAGGATCATCTTTCTTTTGGGTCAACGTAGAATCAGGAGATCATTAGTACAGGCATGGACCAAAAACACCGTGCTGGGCCAGAGATTAATTCCTTGAGCTAATGCTGATGCTTCCCCTTGGGCTTTAACTACCTACATGAACCTCTCAAGAACATGATGCAGCTTAGCACAGGGCAAGTGATTCCCATTTTGAGCATTGATTCCATAAGTAACATAATACGCGGCCCAAAGTATGCACAGCAGTGGAACTGATTTCTCAGTTCCAAGATAGGCTGTTCTACTACTGCCCTGTTTCAACTCTGCAACCTCCCTCTCTCCTGGGAGGGAGATCCTGTTCCAGGCACAGCTGTTTCCCTGGTTGCCTTGCTTAAATAGCAAGGGGTCAGCTGGGCAACCCTTTGTATTAAGTAGCAGAGCAGGGGCTTGGTTGTCGTTCTAGGGCCCAGATGAATTGGACCAAAGTCCATCCGAGTGCGTGGCCTGCAGATTTCATTCTGGAAATACAGAAGGGATGGGGAGCAAGGATGAAAGCAGCAGCTTTGATCTCGTCTCCTGCAGCTTGCAATGAGATCTCTTGATCCTGCAGAAGACCGCTCTGCTAAGCCTAGAGCTGTGAAAATTAAAACAGGTGAACCACACCTGTAATTTATTAATTCACTGAGTTGTCAAAATTCTACGCTAACAGCCACAATGTGTTCAATCGAAAGAGGAGTGAGGAGCCCCAAATGGAAAAGCTATAGCTCAGTGAGGGACTTTGAGCTAGTCATTGGACTTGGCCCAACAAATTTGGTTGACCTGCTGTGAGGATTTGTTGATTTACTAAATTTATATCCCACCACGATCTCCAAAGACTCCCAGTGATAGTTAATATTTTAGGCTTTGCTCCCTTGTTCTCCCCAACTTCTCACTGAAATAGTATCAGGGTGAGTTTAAGGCTGGATGTGTGACCTTCCAGGGCTCACACGGTAAGTCCGGAAAGGCCAATGAGTCAGTCTTAACAGAAGCCCAGTTTGGATGGGACAGCATCAGGAAACACCAATATTGTAAACTAATCTGTCAACACATCCATGATAAACTTTCTGGATCATGCCAAGAAAACTACATGGGAAAATAGGAGGGAGCATTATCCAGGCCACCTTGAGTTGTACAAAATACAGTCAGACTAGAAATCCAATCAATCAATCATCAATCAATCAAATATATCCATGAAGTCAGCAGCTGAGGCTGAAGGAGGCCACAGGAGGGAGCCAAAGGCTGCCATTAAAACCTGGTTCAGTGCAGTTAAGAATGCCCTTGCACCCAGCTCTCCAAAGTCTTACAAAAAGAGAAGAAATATTTCAAAGAACATTTTGGCTTAACCATGGGCAAAAGGAGACAGGAGAGAAACACAGAACAGCTAAAAGTGTGAGCAACTCATTCATTCCATTTGGACTCTTTTTGGTCGACCACTTTGAAAGAAATCCAAGACCCAGAAGCTGCAGGACAACGTATTTGTTTTTATTGCTACCCAAAGCCTTTCTCCGTGAGACTGGCGAACGCAATACCTTCCAAGGGACTGTGAAGAGAGCTTTAAAATCAAGGAGAGGTCATTCCAAGAAGCAGTGCACTTAGAATTGAAACAGAAGATCTTATAAAAGTCTTTTTTTTTTTTTTTTTTTTCCTTAAGTGTAAATTTACACAAACATAAAGGTCAGGGAGAAAACATAAGGAAGGGGGAAAATCTATGATCATTTACACAAGAGTGAAAACAGAGAACTACAGAATGGCCCAATAGAGAGGGTCTTTCAATGCCCACCAACTGTTTTGTTTCATGATATTTTGCATTTGATGCACAAACTCATCAAAGCTTGTCTGTATATAGAAACACAAGAAACGTGTTATGTTTTGTTTTGGTCAGTCCAACAGCAGCCACGAAGATTTTCTTTTAAATTAAGAATCTGAATTATTTTGTAGTGCAGCTTAACCCTCCCAAACGAAACACAGCACTCTTCTTGGGTCTCCATTTTTGCTTTCTAAAACAGAACAGTTTACAAAGATTCTATTTTTAAAAAATTCTTAATTTGAAAGGCAGATTTAGCTTTAGACACCACACTCCAAAGACCAAAAGTGCTAGAATGACAGGAAAGAACTCCAACGAAGAGAAGGAGTTTCTCTTTTGTTCGCAAAAGATATAAAGGGAGTATTACCCAAAATCAAAGTGCAAAAATCTAGGAAGTCATACAACAGGCATTTGGAAATAATAAAAAAAAAAAGTTAGGCAAAGGGAATTCTTAGAAATGAAGGAAATTTGGAATAAGGAGAGAGAACACAGCTAGAAATTTGGAAAGCATTCAGCACACTGTCAATTCTCCAAAACAATACAAGAGATTACAACATACAACAGTAGATCAAAACAGTGGAAACGAACGCTACAGAAACAATTTTTGCTACTTTTTTTTTTTGGTTTGGTTGGTTTTTGGGGTTTTTTTTTTTTTAAAGTATTTAAAATCAGAGTTGAACTTCGAACAGAGTTAAACTATCATTAGTTGCGAAAGGAAAACCAGGGGGAAAGGGGAATGTTTTTAAAAGGATAGCTAGCTCCCTTCTGCTTAACCCTGTAAGGTACAGCCTTCCCTCCACTAGCCCAAAAGGCAAATGGTTGCCCGCTGTTGCATCTGCACGAAGAGGCTTTCCACCAAAGGCGCCATGGGGACATAGGACTACATCAGTGTTTGTGAACCTCAACAACTTGAAAATGTGTGGACTTCAACTCCCAGAATTCCCCAGCCAGGCTGGGAATTCTGGGAGCTGAAGTCCACACATCTTTAAGTTGTTGAGGTTGAGAAACGCTGGACTACATGACAGAAACGGGCTGCAACGGAGGGCAGGGGGAAACGCTGCCTCCTTGCCACGAGACGTCGATGCTGCACACGGAGGCGGCCTTGCCCTCCACCCCATCGGGAGCACACTCTTCATTGTACAGCCGCTTGATCCCATCATAGAAGTCGTCCACCTCCATCTCCTCCACTTTACGCTTGGCTGTCGTGGGCTTGCATCTGCCGGGAGGGGGCCGACGCCGGCAGAGCGAGGCGGATCCTTTGGCTGGCACTTCCGGTTTGCTGTTGTCCTGCGAATCAGGGACTGGGACCACGGGTGGGTGGAATCGGAAAGCCCCCGTGGGGCAAGTCACCAGGTTGTGCTTGAGGGGACTGTAGACATACACCGAGTTGGGCAGCAGAGAAGGCTGCAGGGTGGAAAGATGCTTAGCCACCAACTCCCGACAGTGAATCAGCTGGGAGCTATCCATCTGGATTTCGAGGGAAAGGAAGGAGAGAGAAAAGGATTCTGTAAGTTGTTACTTTCATTAGAACTGTTGCTTGGAGGTGGTCTAGTCCAACCCCCTGCCCTGTGCAGGAATCCTCATACAAATGGCTGTCCAGTCTCTCCTTGAAACCCTCCAGTGATGGAGCATCCATAACTTCAGAAGACAGGCTGATCCTTTGCTTAACAGCTCTTACAGTTAGCCTCCTTAGTTCAAGTTTGGATCTCACTGTGAAGCTGTGAACATTAGGTGGGAAACAAGCTAGGTAGCTCCCTGTTTATTATTAAAGCAGCTTTTTTTATTTTTACTTCTTTACCGCTCTTGTTCCCTCACTGAGAGTGTCAATACCAAACACAGGCCAACCTGTATCTTCCACGTCCCTTCATTTCAGCTATTCCGTCTCCTCCCTTCAGCTTGAGATAAAACTCAAAGCTTAGAACAATAAAGAAAACACCACCAGTTCTACACCACAACCACTAAAACAACCAAGGAGGGAAGTCATTAGCATTTACAAGACTGGAGATCAAAATCAAAGATGGCAACTCCCTTGTGTAGTTCAAGAAGACTTGCCAAAGGCTTGGTACCACGCAAGAGAGTGCCATGGCTAAAATGCCAATGCAAAAAAGCCTTGTCCCACTCATGGAGAGGGAATTCCATCAGTTTTTGCAACCTTCAGGCATGTTCTGTAGGAGCAAAGAGTCATCCTCGAGTCACAAGCTGTATACAACATTAAAGAAGCCACCAGCATGTCAAACATTTAATAAATGTACAGGTAACTTGCTGAACTTCAAATGGTTTGGGTTACCACATCCACGGTCTCTTACCTGCTGGGTATAGCATGCTGTAATCCAGCATCTGGGTGGCACCAGCTTGCTCACCCAACTTTCCTAACCTAGTATCTTCAAGCAGTGGCAGAATTACCTCTCCTATCCTCCCCAGCCACCACAGAAAAAGGACCCTTTGAGTACAGAGGTGGACAGAAAATGAAATTGTAAATAAATAAAGTAACTCCACGCGCAGAGGCCCATTTGCTCATCGCCAGGATCTCAACCGTAGGGCCCGTTGCCAAACAAGGCCTTGGTTCCTGCTAAGACAGCAGCCCAGGCGAGAGACCAGCCCCCCTTTCCCCCGAGGGGCAATGGCCTTGCCCTACCTGTGCCTTGCGCAGCAGTTCAATGATGAGGGCGAGCCAATCAGGGATCAGCTTCTCCACCTCCAGGCTGACGATGGCCAGGGCCAGCATGGAGCCCTTGAACTGAAGGAGCTGGTAGCAGGCCAGGCAATGCAGCAAGTGCTTGGTGAGCAGAGCAACGTGCTGGGACGGATTCACCTTAGGCAAGCTGGTCAGCAGCTGCGGCCGGGTGGACAAGGCAACCGCATGGAACTGGATTGGGATGGGAAAGAGCAGGGCAACACTTAGCACCTCTGCTGGCAAAGGCACATTGTGATCTGCAGGGAGGGCACGAACCACCTCTCCCTTGCTTGCAACTGGGTTTTTATTAGGAAGTAGAATGACGGGCCTTCTCTGCAGTAGCCCCCGCTCTTTGGAACATTCTGCCCCCGGAGGTGCGATT